GAACTGCATGTGGTTTGTATGATTTCAGTCTTTTGACATTTATTGAGGTTGCTTTATGGTTGAGTATGTGAGCAAGATTTGCAAATTTTCTAAAGGTTTTGTTCTCTGCAAGTGTTAAGTGTAATGTTCTATACGTGTCCTTTATTAACATTGTTAATTGCGTTATTAAATATCCTGTATCATTATTGAATTAAAAATAATCTGTTCAATCAATTACCATTAAAGTGTGAAAATATCCCAGTAAGAATGGAATTGTCTATTTCCCCTTGTTCTATGAATTTTTCTTTATGAGTATTTTGGCCTTTTCATTACTGAAAAAATGTAGAATTGTTCTATTTTCCTAGTGAATGAAAGGTTTTATTCTTATTACTTGAAACTTTGTATTTGTAATAATGTCTTCAAGTATATATGCTTCATAATTATAGAGCCATGATCATATTGTATTGTCTTATGAATTTTCAATTTTTATTTTTAACCTTCTGTGTTTCTACACATATAAATATTTGGTGAGGTGTACAGAAAATGCATAATGCCATTCACATGTTGTGTAATGACTTTTTCGAAAGGAACACACTCACGTCAGCAGCACTCAGACTAGGAAACAGAGCATGGTCAGCACCCCACATTCCTCTTCAGGTCCCTGCTCAGAGGCAGCCAAAATGTTTAATTATGAATAACAGAACACAAGATGCAGGGGAATAGCTTGCAGAAAGTAAAAGGGATGTGTTGCAAGAGAACCACTTCAACGATATGATTTCATTCTAAAGTAATACATGATTATATTAACAAATAATATATTCCACTAGGAAATAAAAAATGTTAACTATTTGCACAAGTTCCACATGGAGAAGTATTTTGTAGTTATTGCTCTGGCAAACAAGTTAAAAAGACTTGATAATATACCAAGGAAAAACTACTTTCCACAAGAAAATCACAACGAAATAAATTGAATCACTTAGCAAGACAGAGAAGATATAATATGTTTAATGTGAAAAAGGCCTATGTAATTCAATAATAAAACTCCCCCCAAATAATGAACAGATATATGAACAAACAATAAGAGAACTAAAATGTCTGGTTAAAACAATACAGGAAAATGGTCTCTCACCAGTAATCACAGAAGCAAAAACGAAAGCAAGGAGGTGGCATTTTGGCTCCCTCTCTCCCTCTCTCCTTCTCTATCTCTCCCTTAAAAAAAAATTTTTTTTTGCAGTATTGAGGATTGAACCCAAGTCCTTAACCCAGATATACATTCTAATCCTTCAAGTTTTCTTTTTTTTTTTTTGTACCATTGATCAAACTTGGGGATCTTGCACTTGCTAGGCAGGCAGTGGGACCACAGAGCTACAGAGCTAAATCCCCAGCCTCTCTGTTTTTTTTTTTTTTTTTCCCCAATTTTTGAGACAATGTCTCACTGGACTAAAATGTCCAGGCTGGGCTTGAACTTTTGATCCTTCTGCTATAACCTACTAGTGTGATGGGATTAGAAACCTTCTCTACCATTAACTGTCATTAATAACTATTAAGGAGAAAATCTTAGCATCAAAATCTTAGAAGTTACAGATAAAAATGCAGTCTGAGAAAATATTTTTATGACATTTTAAGGTAGAATTTCAATTAGCACTATTGAGGTTCGGATAAACCTCATTGGCTATGATACTTCCACTCCGCAAAGCTAAGTTAAAATTTCAAAATGAAAAAACCAAAAAAAACAAAACAAACAAAAAGTTTCAAAATGCATAAAGAGCCCTAAAATATTTTACTTACACAGTTTACTTCTCCAAATATTTATGGCAACAGACCATAAATACAAAAAAGATTTCTTTTCAGAAACTTTCATTGCATCATTTTTTGTAATACTGAAAGCTCAGAAATCCCCTAGTCATTCAACAATAGTGAAACACTATATGAATCATGACCCTGTCTTCTGAGATAATCTCAGTAATACAGTTAATAAAAATATAGAAACAACTTATAAGAGTCAGTGAAAAACTATGTATGATTTCATCCATAGATTTTTCCACAAAGTTAAAGACAATAGTAATAAGAAATTGAAGAAAAATGGTGTAACATATCAATAGTTTCTTTAAACGAGGAGATGGTGTTTTCGTTTTATCTTTTTCCTATTTATGTTTCACAAATTTATATAATGAGTATGTATTATAGTACAACTAATAAAATAAACCAGACTTTAAAAAGCAAAGAATCAATTTTGCCAACGGTCAGTTGCCATCGATCTCACCAGCATGGATGCTGCCTGCTTTGCTATTAGCAAATCCGAAGAAAGAGGACAATTTCCTGAACGGTTCAGAATCCAGATCAGCAAAAATCGACAGGATGCAAGTAAAATGTTCACTGGGGGTCTATCCTGTGATATCAGTTTTGAGATTATTGGGAAAAGTATTATTTGTTTATGCTGCTTTATGGAGTATCATGGGAGAAACAAACCAGGGAGATTCAGGCCACCAATAAGATCACAGCCATCTTTCCTGCACGAACCGCAACATGGCCGTCTTTGCCATAATCGTGAAGTGAATTAAGTTCGTAAACAGAAGCACCATTGTAAATGGGAAAATTCATGTATGAACACTAAATAAAGAGGGGGTAGTCTGATCAAGAGAAGTATATATTAAAGGTCTATTGAGATGTCTTCCTACTTATTACTTTCAAAGCAAAAAAAGCAGGACGCCATTAACCTTCAGTGTTTTTGTACATGAAATCCAGTTTACACAAGCAAATTGAAACTTAATTTATAGCATTCCTTGTAGCTCATCAAGTTTTGAGATAAAAAATAAGTACTCTAAACTGAATTTCAGCCAATCATAAGCAATTAACTGTTATTTCTAAAATTAGGGACTTCAAACTGTATCATATATTAATTAGGCTAGCTGAAGCCAATCAAGTATTTTCTTTTTTTTTTTTTTTTTGGTACTGGGGATCGAACTCAGGTCCTTGTGCTTGTGAGGCAGGCAGCGGAACTGCTGAGCTAAATCCCCAGCCCTCAATCAAGTATTTTCTTCGCTTCTATGCTCAGTCCATAAATGTCCTCTGATCACTGGCTAACATGGAGCTTCTTCTCCCAACCTCTCCTGATTTTCACTACTGTCTGATTCATAAATTCTTCAAAGCTGAAAAAAAATCCTCTTAAATTTATTTTGTCTGAAGTTTTGCTTCATTACTTGCAAGGGAACAATTGTGAGAGATAAGCAATCCCTTGTCTAAAAAATAAAAACTAAAATGACCAGTTAGGTGCACACATAAATTGCTTTTTTTTTTTTTTTGGTACCAGGGATCGAACTCAGGACCTTACACTTGTGAGGCAGGTGATGGAACCACTGAGCTAAATCCCCAGCCCTAGGTGCACACACAAATTATGTGTCTCTGAATCTGACTCTCTAGAAAGGAGACATCACTGGTATGTCCTTTGGTTGCATATTCTGAATCTAATCATCAGAAAACAAGAATCAAATTCCAAATAAAGAACATTTTTTTTTAAAGGCCCACATTTTTCATAACTGTAATTGTCTTAAAAGACAAAAAAAGGCTGAGGAACTGTTCCCAAGTAAAACATAGGATTAGGTAGACAAAAAAAGTCAGAATCTGAATGGTAAACTAGGAGGGGAATGTCCTTATTCCTAGCAAATATGGATTTAAAAACCATTCTTGCAGCTTATGTAGAAGTTTGAAATTGTTTTCAAATTAAAAAGAAAGTGAGCTTATTACTCTTCTTCTTACCTACCTAAACACATACACATGCATGTGTATAGAAAGTATTGGTTAAGATAGTATTTTTAAACTCTATGACTTGCTTGGTTGCAAGTCTATATGTGCTCAAAAGCCTAAGCCAGAAACTTAGAAATCATACTTGAACTTTCTGCTGTCTTCTTGTTTCCTAAAATTTATATCATTTGTCCTTTAAAAAAATCTATCATCCAGAAACTTTGTGTTTCTGCAGACAAATTACTGAAAAATTTATTACTTGACAACCTGATTCTAGACTTCATGTAAAAAAGTAAACAATAATAGTCATAAAATTGAGAAATAAGAGCAAACAGAGAAAGTTAGCCTTATTAGTTATTAAAATTTAATATGAAGCCTCAAAATACAACATATTACTGTTGTGGTATGAATTGACAGATCAAAGCATCAGAATAGAAAATGCAGAAACTGAGCCAATGCATTGTGATATGGAAAGTTATAGAATGGTTAAATTTGAATTGTAGGATAGAAACTAGCTACATTGTAGCCAGAGGTAGGAGGGAGACTTTTCATCATGTTCCTGTTTTACCTTTTCATTTGTGAACCATATGAATTTCTCATAAATTTAAATAATTAAAAAAAATAAAACAAAAAACCATCAGAAAAAACCCTGAAGAATCAAGGCCTAGTTCCCAAACTAATAATCGCTTCCTATTAAGGTCTTTAGCTCTAATCTCAGTTAGGTGATTTGTATTAGTTCCCTGATCTATCTGTGCCTTGTTTCTCCTCCTAGGATTATTCTTGCTCTTTTAGTTTCAGCAAATGGTATGTATTCCTGGTTCAGCTTTCTTCATGTGGAGGTTACTCCCCATGAGTAAGATATTTTCAAAGCTGGGATCGGAAATGCTCCCTCTAGCTCAGAGTACTTGATCCTTGCCAGAATTTGTCAGCATTTCTTGTGTGGTGAGACCTCGTAGTCATAGATGGATGGATCTGCTCACTGAGCTTCCTTCTAGAATCTAAGATGTGCCTAATGTCATTCTTTTGGTTGTTTCTGCATTCTGGTATGAATCTACTTGGATACCTGGATGCACTAATCAAATCACCCTACAGGATGCTCCTTCTCTCCAGGATGTAGCTCTACTTTTCATCAGTTGGTCCTATCCCAGTCCTGCCAACTCAGGTGTTCTCAATGTCACACCTGCTTGTTAGCTGAACATTCATTTTGGCTTGCTTTGGAGTTGTTCAAAAATTGTAGTAGAGGAATGCAGTTAGGAAGTCATTTCCAATAGTCTGGGCCTCTACTCTGGGGAAGTATCCTTTATTGAGTATGTATAGCATTTTTCTAAGCCAAAGAGCCTCCACAAAGCCCCTTTCATATCCCTGTTCCTTAGGCTGTAGATAAAAGGATTCAGCACAGGGGTGACCATTGTATATACAATGGATGCCATCATTCCAGTATCTGCTGAGTAGGATGATGATGGCTGGAAATACACTAGAAAGACTGTTCCATAGAAAAGAGTGACCACTGTCAAGTGAGAGCCACAGGTGGAGAACAATTTGTGTTTCCCCCCAGCAGAGGGGATCCTGAGGATGGTGTGCATGATGTAGCTATAAGAGACCAGAACACAGGTGAGAGGGACCACACCTGAGAGGGCAGCTTCAGCAAACATTATCAGCTGAAAGCTATGAGTGTCTGAACAGGTAAGCCTGAGGAGTGGGGTTACATCACAGAAGAAGTGTGGGATGGTGTGGGAGGCACAGAAGGAGAACTGAGCCATCAGCAGAGCGAGTGAAAAGGCCAGCAGATTGGAGCAGAACCAGCATGTGGTCACTAACAGCAGGCATCGTTGAGGAGACATGATTGCAGTGTAGTGTAGAGGAAGACAGATGGCCACGTAGCGGTCATATGCCATCACGGCCAACAGGAAGTCATCCAGCAGGGCCAACGCCATGAAGAAGTACATCTGCACAAGGCACCCAGTGTGCGAGATGGTGTGGTGCTGTGTGTGGATGTTCACCAGCACCTTGGGGATGATGGTGCAGGTGAAGCAGGCATCAATGAAGGACAGGTTGGCCAGGAAGAAGTACATGGGGGTGTGGAGGTGCTGGTCAGAGCCAATGGCCAGAATGATGAGCAGGTTGCCAAAGAGGGTTACCAGGTGCAGGCTCAGGAAGAGCCCGAACAGGAGAGGCTGCTGCTCTGGGTGTTCAGAGAAGCCCAGGAGCAGGAAATCAGTGAGTCTGGTTTGGTTTCTATTTTCCTTATAAAGCAGAGAAATTAGCAGAGAAATTTGGTTAAATAAACTAGGCTTTAAAAATTATAGAGTCCAAGGATTGTGACATGGTTTTCTTTTTTTCCTTGCAGAAGTCATTGAGATTGACTACTGTTTGTACCTGTCCACTTGTAAATACATAAAAATAAGAGGAGTGTGGATTACCATAACGAAGCATCAGGGTGAGGGTGTATTTTGATTTCTAGATTCCTGTCATGGGAAAAGTTACCCCATATATTTTCTGAATGAAGCTAAACCAGAATTCACCTTCAAATATCTCTTCAACTTTAATTTTCTTAAAAATCCCCTTAGAACAATAGATTCAAATTTATTGTCTTATTGTAGAGCTCCCTTCAGGGTAATGGATTTCTAAGATCTAGTAGACACTACAAAGGTTTCTATGTCTGTGTGTGTGTGTGTGTGTGTGTGTGTGTGTGTACAGAGGTGTGCAAAGGAGCCTTAGATAGATTCTGCTCTTCCTTCCCATCCCTATGCCTCAGTTTTTACCTGGAGATACTGGCCCGGCTCACACTGTGCCACTGCCACCAAGGAGGTTGAGTTTGCTGCCCTGTTGTCACCCCAAGAAAACATGGCTGGAGTCACAGGCCCCCTCTCACCTTTAGAAGCAGCACAGACTGAGGTAAGTCTCAGGGCTTTGGCAATGTCTCTGGCACAGGAGCCAGTAGGAGCTCTGATGTTTCACATGCAGTGTCTCCTGGGACCTAATCCTTAGCTAGTTAGAGACAAAGTGGGGCAATTGTCCAATGGCCAGATGTCAGCCCTGGACTGAGGTCCCTTGAGTCCTAGCAGTGTCACTGATGCCTCCATTCAGATGACCAGGTCTGGGATCTGTGGAGCCACTGTCCCCTCATTTCCCCTGTGTGAGCTGCAGACTGGTTTCATCATTGCTGTCATCAGCCCTCACACCGTGTAGGCCTCTTTCATGACATAGTGTCCACAGTTTCTAATCAGAGCCCAGTGCTCATGGATGGAATGTAGTGTGCTCCAGAAAAGAATAAAGAGTAAAGAGTAAAATGGATCGGAGGTCCCAATCATTATCTTCAAAGGTCATTCTTACTCTCTGTGATCCCAGGTAGCAGGGAGATAAGACAAATATGTAGATTCTATTTTCAGAGCAGGTGCTATCTTTGCATTTATGCATTTTAAAATAAATATATCTTACATAAAAATCTGTAATTACATGGATCTACTACTTAAATTAATGAGAATTTAGTGTCCATTTTCTCCCTATTCAGTTGAAATAGTAATGGCTCAATGCTTTGAAGCCCATGTGTGCCTTTTCCAATCATACTTTGGTCTTCCCACTTTAGAGAAACCCCTTTGTGAGTACCATGTACCATATTCTTACTTTGTAATTTTGCCATGTGTACTTTTATGTCTATCCAGTACACTCTGGATTTGCCTGTTAGTTCTTCTGTGAATGGAATGATACTTTTTCTGTATTCTTCACTTGATGATTTTGTTCAACACTATTCTTTTAGGTTCATTCATGTGTATGCATGTAATTGAAGGACCTTCATGTCCATTGCTATCTCATACTGGTCAGCATTCCCTCACTATAAACTCATTTTGCCTGTTGAATTTCAGAGTTCAGAACTTTTGGATTTGAAACGATGTGTATGTTATCTAAGATTCTCTCAGCAGATTCTGTTCTAATAATGCATAATAAGACACACAGTATTTTTCACAATAGAATGAATATTTCATAAATACAACTAATTACTAAGTACAATTAATAAAGGCTAAAAATAATGTAAATTCAGATCATGATTTGCTGCCTGATGAGTTTACTATAATAACCTTCTTTTTTGGTCAGACCTTTTTGGGTGACAGAAACATAGAAAGACATTCTGATTGGTGTATAGTAGTTATCTCATTGTGTGGATTAAAAAATTAAATGGTGCAGTATAACACATATAGAAAATATCACAAAGCACAAACATACCGCTCAAGAAGTTATTAGAAACCTATTACATATTTTATGAGTAGAAGAGGGGATCTTGAAGACTCCAAACATAAAGTAATGATAAGAAAATGAAACTGCTCATGATACTGATTTAATTCATACATATTGTAAACATGTATTAAAATTCACACCATATCTCACAAATATTTAGAATTATTATATATTAATAAAAAATTTCAAAAAATATTTAGGAAGAGTTGTAATTACTCTAAGTTGATCATTACACATTATATGCATGCATCAAATTATTACACTGTATCTCATAAATATGTACCTTTAAAATAATAATTAATAGGGCTGGGGACTTAGCTCAGTGGCACCCCACCTGCCTCATAAGTGCAAGGTCCTGAGTTTGATCCCCAGTACCAAAAAAATTAATGAAAATAAAAATAATGCAAGATTTCATTGAAAGGAAAAAAGAAATACATCAAATTGTATGAAATAAAAACTAGAAATCCAAATTCCTACTAAGGGATTAGTGAAAATTTTGCAGTTATGCTATCATTAAAAAAAAAGAAACCAGTCACCTATGTATCACTTGCCAGATCAAGGAAATGAAATTTGCTAACATGCTGAAGCCACTTTCATGCATGCTGATAGTCATTCTTTTCTCTCCTGGAAGTTAAATCATCTCTATCCTGCTTCTAACATTTTAGATTAGCCTTGACACTTTTTGAACTTTCTGTAAATGAAATCATACACAATATATTCTTTTTCCTTCATTATTTTGTTCAAGGTTTCCCATTGGTGAGATTATGTAGTTTGTTGTGTGCCGTGGTCCTATGTTGATGTTCATTACTATGAGTTGCTCCATGATTTGATGATACCACGCATTGCTCACACAATCTACTGTTGAAGGAATAGTCAGTTTTTGGCTATTAGCAATAACGCTGCAATGATTATTCTTGCGTGTGTTTCTTGAAGCCCACGTGTGTTCCTGTCTGCTGTATGTGTACCTACAAGTGGAGTGGCTAGAATTCCCCGTTTTGCTTCTACCAGCAGTATGTGAGGGCTCTGCTTGTGTCACATCCTTGATAACACGTAGTATCAGTCTTTTTTATTGTCATTTTGGGGTGTGTGTGTGTGTTTGTGTGTGTGCTCATGTGCATCTCTTGCTGGCTTGATTTCATATTTCAGTGATAAATAATGAAATCAAGCACCTTTAAAATAGTGATTAACATCTTTATTTCCTAATTTCAAAAGTGCTTATTAAAGGTTTCTTCATTTTGGTTTAGTTTTCATTTTATTCTTCTTGTGAAACTATTTAAATGTTCTCCGCAGAAGTCTTCTGCTGACTATATGTACTACAAATATTTTCTCTATCTTTGTGGGTTGCCTTTTACTCTTTTCATAGAGCTTTTCCTAAGTGTTTTAAAAAATTTTAATTTACCAAATTCATTAACATTTCCCCTCTTCTTAGTGATTTATTTGTGCCTAGTTTAGATAGTAGTCCCTTACCTGAGCTCCAGAAGATATTGTCTAGTACTGTTTTCTAAAAAATTTATAATTTTACCTTTCAAAATTCTTTTCTAAATCTTTCAGAATTCTTCAACCTACGGGACTGATTTTTCCTTCTCTTCCCTTCCCTTTTCTTTTCTCCTCTCTTGTTCTCTCCCCCACCCCAAAGCACTCTGTTTTGAACCCAGGACCTTGCACATACTAGAAAATGTTTTAGCAGTAAGAACATCATCTAGCCTTGGAAGTGGTTTTTTCTGTAAGTTGTGAGGTAGGGAAGATATATTTATTATTTTCAATTTTTACAACAAGATACCTAATTATAAATTCTAATGGTGCATCTGTATACTCTTTGAATTGCAATTATGTGAAAACATCATTTGTGAATAAAATGCAATTTTGTTTTCTCCTTTACAGTACTTATATCTTTTTTATCTTATTGCACTGCATGTGACTCCCAAGTAAAATGTGAAATAGTTCTACTGTGAGCTAGTATTTTATCACCATTATGTACTATATATGCTGCATATTTTTAAAAGGTACATTTCTTTTAGATTAAGGAGATATTATCTATCCCGATTTTGCTAAGAGGACTTTTTATGAGTGGATGTTGAATTCAATCAATTTATCCTACATCTATTGAGATATCTTATGATTTTTGCCCATTTTTCTATTAATGTGTTGACTTACTCTACTTGAGTTTTAGGCACAGTGTTTTATTAATTTTGCATTTCTGGGAAAACTCCATTGGTTATGATTTATTATACAGTCTGCTTTATTTCAACTCTGCTGCTAATATTTGGCTTTGGATTTGAGCATTTACATTAACAGATGAGATTTATAGTGTTCTCATGCCTATTGGGTATTGAGGCGATGCTAATCTCCTGACGAGAGTTCCTGAGTACATTACTCATACATACTTGTACATTATTCCTAGCTGGTTTCCCAATTTTCAGATATGTGGGGATTTTTAGTTATATTTTTGTTATGATTTTTCATGGAACTGCATATGGTCTGTATGATTTCAATCCTTTGACATTTATTGAGGTTGCTTTATGATTAAGTGAGCAAGGTTTACAAATTTTATAAAGGTTTTGTTCTCTGCAAGTGTTAAGTGTAATGTTCTATACATGTCCATTATTGACATTGGTAATTGTGTTATTAAATATCCTATATCATTACTGAATTAAAAATAATCTGTTCAATCAATTACCATTAATGTGTGAAAATATCCCAATAAGAATGGAATTGTCTATTTCCCCTTGTTCTATGAATTTTTCTTTATGAGTATCTTGGCCTTTTCATTACTGAAAAAATGTAGAATTGTTCTATTTTCCTAGTGAATGAAAGGTTTTATTCTTATTACTTGAAATTTTGTATTTGAAATAATGTCTTCAAGTATATGTTTCATAATTATAGAGTCATGACCATATTGTTACATCTTATGAATTTTCAATTTTTATTTTTAATCCTTCTGTATTTCTACATACATAAATATTTGGTGAGGTATACAGAAAATGCATAATGCCATTCACATGTTGTGTAATGACTTTTTCAAAAGGAACACACTCACGTCAGCAGCACTCAGACTAGGAAACAGAGCATGGCCAGCACCTCACATTCCTCTTCAGGTCCCTGCTCAGAGGCAGTCAAAATTTATAATTATGAATAACAGAACACAAGATGCAGGGGAATAATTTGCATGGTTATATTAAAAATAATATATTATATTAGGAAATAAAAAATGTTAACTATTTGCACAAGTTCCACATGGAGAGGTATTTTGTAGTTATAGTTCTGGAAAACAAGTTACAAAGAGGGAGATCTCTTGACTTGATAATATACCGAGGAAAAACTACTTTCCATACAAAAATCACAGTGAAATAAATTGAATCACTGAGCAAGACAGAGAAGACAAAGATATAATATGTTTAATGTGAAAAAGGCCTATGTAATTCAATAATAAAACTCCCCCCAAATAATGAACAGATGATATGAACAAACAATAAGAGAACTAAAATGTCTGGTTAAAACAATACAGGAAAATGGTCTCTCACCAATAATCAAAGAAACTAAATCAAAAGCAAGGAGATGGCATTTTGGCTCCCATCCTCCCTCCTCCCTCCCTTCCTTCTTTTCTCTTTCTCTC